AATCCACGAATTACGGTTTGAACTGCTTGACCATCCACCTTACTCACCAGATCTAGCCCCAAGCGACTTCTTTTTGTTCCCTCATCTAAAAATTGCGCTCGGAGGACAGAGATTTTCGTCAAATGAAGAGGCAATCACCTTCGTGAACAATTATTTTGCAGAGAAAAACGCCGAGTACTATTTCGACGGGTTACAGAGATGGGAGCATCGCTGGGAGAAGTGTGTAGATTTACAAGGAGACTATGTTGAAAAATAAAAAACAATTTTCAGAAAAAATGACTTGTATCTTTGTTAGGTCGGAAACTTTTCAGACCACCCTCGTATCAGAGAACAGTGAAACCCGTAGGAATCAGGCTGAGTGAAAATAGAAGATCGCCGCGTCTCTCCTTGTACACGATAACGTGCCGAAATGATCGCGGTCTGTCACTCGGTATCTCCTGCTGATTGCTGAACCAAATCCTCCAGACTCTCATCTAATTCCGCTCATGCCAATTAGTGCACGGCTCTCTCAACGGTTGCGCGCGAATTACGGTCAATGACACCGCATATACGTATACATTTGCATTGTAAAGTCTGCGCGATGTCTCTCCAGCCTCTGCTCGAGTGACTATCGATATTTTCGCCTTCCGACAGATCGTCGACAAGAAGGCTTACCACGAGGACTGCAACGGTCACGGACGTTACCTGGTGAGCAGGTGCAGATGCGACCGACTCTATCACGGCACGAGGTGCGAATTTAAGGAGGAGTGCCTGGACAACTCGGACTGCGGTATTCAGGGCACGTGTGTCGACAACGGCGGCACGACCGCGCCTACCAAGCACTGCTACTGCAACAACGGCTGGTTCGGCCCGAGTTGCTCGAAAAGTAAGTTTCACCGCGCGCCCCGCGAAATTCCTACGGGGGGGAATTTCTCGCGTGCCATCGGGCCGCCGCTTCTGGGACACTTATGCTAAACCGGTGCCCCGTCCTCTCGTCGTACGATATCGGGACAAGAGAAAAACGACAAGAGAAGGAAACGAAACAACGTGGGTCGCCTTAAAATTCTCCTTTAACGCTCTCTTTGCGCGGCAAAGAAATATTTTAGTGGCATCCCGTTGAGTGTATTAAAGAGAAACTCGATACGCTTCTCTTTCCTTTTGGTCTTCTTGTCTTGCGTTAAATTTCATTTCGGCTACTCTTGAACTTCACTTTAAGCCGGAGTGCTTAAGGGGGCAACTCGATTTTGAGGTCTGAAAAATTAGTACCTTTTACGAATTTTTTTCTCCGAAACTATGCGGACGACAAATCCCAAACTTTGTATGGTTATTAAGACATATTTTATTAAAACTTTCTAATTTTTGCAAGCAAAAATAATTTATAAATTCATAGTTATAATGATATGCGCGCAAGGTGTCGATTTTTATGATCACCACGATTACGAGTCTCTCCGTGGTCTGAAACAAAAAAGCAAGTAAAGAAATTAATCTACAGACTTGCTGTTATCTTCTGAAGTACGGAAGTGCAAAATGAACCATTTTTTTCAAGCGTATAAACATAAAATTTAAAAAATGGACTAAAAATTGTATGTTTATACATCTTAAATTAATTAAAAATTGGTTCGTCTTGCATTTCCGTACTTCAGACGATAGCGGTAAGTCTGTAGATTAATTTCTTTACTTGCTTTCTTGTTTCAGACCACGGAGACTCGCAATCGTGGTGATCATGAAAATCAACACCTTGCGCGCATATCATTATAACTATGATTTTATACATTATTTCTGTTTGTAAAAATTAGAAAGTTTTAATAAAATATGTCTTAATAACTATACAAATTTTGGGATTTATCACCCGCATAGTTTCGGAGAAAAAAATTCGTAAAGTGTGCTAATTTTTGAGACCTCAACATCAAGTTACCCCCCTAATTAATTCTGATTAATCTTTACGTTCGGGACGTGTACAACGCTTCGTCGATGATAAATCAATTAATATGACTCATATCGGAGTTATGGATTTGCGCTCCCCCTTCCCCTCTCTAAGGAGTTTATCCACTTAAATAAAAATATATAAGATTATACAAAAAACTTTGTATATTAATGTAACATTTCTCGCGGTAAAACACATTTGTAGTTCAAGTTTCACGCAATTTGTGCCTATATTGTTCATGAGAAATTTAACAATCGATAAACG